ACCCCGTTGCACCGGAGAAGAACCGACTTCAAAGCCGATCCAATCAAGGCCCTCGGTGCCCTCAAAGCTGAAAATGTCCTCGCGCGGAATGGTCCTTTCTCCTGGAATGTCGGAAATCCAAATTCATGTCTAGTAGTGGACTGCGCAGCCGCCATATGACCTTTGACCTGCAGCCAGCAGCGTTCGGCTCCGCGCAGCTTGGTCAGGGACTCTTGCCAGGCCCTGTCGACAGCTCCGCGCCACGCGGGAATCCTTGGCAGTTGCTCCTGCCAGGCCTGCAAGAGTTCAACAGGTCCCCAAAAAGGTGGTGCCACTACGCTTTCCATGTCTGGCCCCAACGGCCGTGGCCGCACAACCCCCATCCAATTGACTTCCACACGTCGAGGAAACCTGGGCCATCAATTTTCTGAAGTCGGCGCGCGCGAGGCCCATGGCAACGGCCCCCCGGGGCACCCGCGGCTTGTAGCCGGCGTTGGCCAGCTTTTCGGCCGCCTCCACGCTTCTGCCCAGGGCCCGAACGGCGAAGTCTCGCCTGGCCCCCTTCTCACGCTTAACTTTGATGGCCCCTTGGGCCCAGCCGGCAGAGACGACGTCAGCTCCGAGATCTCGAGCTAACAACTCCACTTTGGTCGGTGAGCCAAGCTATTTGACCTTCTTCCTCAGCGCCGCTCGCGCGCCAGGTGAGCTGGCTAGGCCGACTGACTTTTTGGACATGCAAAATCCCTTGCTGCGCAGAAATGCGGTCAGCTTCAAATATTCGGCAAGATGGCCCACAACTCCCGCCGCCGCGCTAAGGTTTAGTTGAGCGAGGTCGCCAGCCCAACCGCCGATGGAATTGCGAAGTGGGGGATGGGGGCGATGAATATTGTCTGACATGTCCCGCGCGTAGATTCTGGACCAGGATGCGCTTTGCATGGGCCCCGCGACGACCAAGTGCACGACCTGCACGCTGTCGGATAAGAAAGAGCCAGCAGCCATCCAGCGCTCTGCTGTGCGCTGCAGCACAGCAAGATACAACGGCACTAAACGATATTCCAGATCGATAGCCAGGCCTGGTAACGCTTCCCCATATACGGGGTCGTAAAACTTGTCGACATCCCAAAGAAACTGCACCCAACTGAAATGTAGAATGCCGCATACTTCCGCTTTTTATTGCCGTGAGACTGCTGCTCGGAAGGGACTGCTACCCTCGCTGCAGCGCCTCAAAAACCTGCCTTGCTTTGCTCCCACGCCCGCGTAACTTGCTTGCGCGAGATACTCCAGAATCGATCGGGCCCTGGGGTTAAAGAAGTAGGCCGATCTCCTCCAGGCGGAGGTTTCGGTGCGAGGGCGACGATGTCGACGAGGGCTTATGTCGGCCGACATAGCTCGGCCTCCACTTCGCGGAACAATCGAACAGCTGCTCATGTCCTTGCTCTGGCCGAGAGAGCCGCTGCGTAGGGCTCCACGGGTCAGCGCCAAGACCAGCATGCTCCATAAAATATCGCGCGCCCTGCTTGAGGCCTGCAACTGCGCGGCCAGGAAGAGGTCGCTCTTCCCGTTGCAATCGCGCTGCGTCTAGTAGACGTCGAAGCCAAAATGGAAAGGTTGCTTATGTCCCCCTTGCGTTCCTCCCCATAGATGAGACCACCAGTCCGCCTTGACCCCCAATATCTTCGGTGGTTCGATAATCCCTTGTCCTCTTGCGCCCTTGTCGACGGCCAAACTAGCCCCCCCCCCCCCGCCTGCCAGGCCCTGAAAAAAACCGACGCGCCCACCTGGCCCCTGTTGCTGAGAAGCGCCCGAAAACACTGACGATTCTCCTCCGCGGCGCCCGTGGAGACCTTAGCCAAGACTCCCTTGGCCGCATTCAAAATGCCGCGAATGCCCTCCATGATCGAAGGATGCGACGACAAGGCCACAATAATCTCGCCGCCTGCAATCCTAGCTGAGTCAGGATCTACTGTGCTGTATTGGGCGACCTGTTTATCTTCGTTCCGAATGTTAAACTGCTCGTGCATGGCCGTGCGACGGGCGCGCGCAGTATGGCCGGTGCTTCTGTCAGCCCAAAATGCACATCCCCTAAAACCTGGATCGACCCCCCCCCCCCCGAAACACACTTCCATGGGGCGTCCGAAATACCCAGGCGGTTATACAGCGAGCAGGCTCTGCACTTTACATGCCCCTTTTGTGTGCCCCATATGTCTCGCCCTGCTCGGTTTAACAGAACTGCCTCAGCCTGCGCGGAGAAGCTGGCGCGGGCGCAGCCGAGGCTCGCCGAAGACGCTTCAGCCCATACGTGCGAATGTAGCGGCGCCTCGACAGCACCTACCTGCCGGCGAAAAGACCCCCACGGCAGATCTGGTCCGAGCTCAGTGCGGAAGAAGCGGAGTGGCGGGCGCCAAGACACGGCCTTGCAGGATATTCTGAGACAAATCCACGTCACCCCCAAATTCCCAAGCGCGGCGCCCGAGGCCCCCGTTGGTCCAGCGAAACAGAGAGGCCAAATATTCCGAGACAACTCCATAATCCAAGATACTTTCATTATCTGAGTTGGTAAATTCACCCGACGGTGTTCTTAAACTCCCGCGAACACAAAATGGCTCCCAGAGCCCTTGAGGAGGCGCATTCCAGTCCGCCATGGCTTGCGTATCTACAGTAAGCAAAAATAACCAGCTATAGCTCTTTTCGGCCAGACGTAAGAGCGGCCCCGGGTAAAAACTGACCTCTGGTGCACAGCTCTCGGGGCGCGAGGGGGGCCGAGCCCAAGGGCGCGGACCGCTTATATCGCATCGCGCTCGTCGGTCGGGGGGGGGCCCGGCGAGCCCGCGCCAAAGGTCACTCTGGCGAAAGGTCACTCTCACGTGTAGTCGATCCTTTAGGGCCAGGCTGTTGGCGCCGTCGGAGTTGTTCGAATAAGCTGAGACAAAAGTTACCTCGAGGCCCTGGAATCGGACAGCCCTGCCTACCAATTTGGCGCCTAGGCCCGTCATGTCCACGCTTGCGCGGATAGGCGACGCGCGAGGGGATGGGGCCCTTGCTAGGGCCCAGACCCCCCGATGCCCCGGAGCCCCTTCTTTGGCCGTCGGGACCGCGGGGGGCGAGGTGGAAAGCCATCCCACTCGCTTGAGTTTCTTTGGTTTCTGGATGAGAGGGCGTCCTCTCAGGTGAGTTGCGGCGCCCATGTGGAGCAGAACATGTTGCGCATGCGATGCTGCTTGATAAATTCTGCCGCGCTCGTTCCACTTCGTATAGCTGGCGAAGTAGAAACTCAAAACCTGCCCAACGCAGCGGCGTTGCCGAGCATGAGACACTTGATGGCCTCTCTCAAAGATGCTGCTCATCCGGCTGAGTCTGTGCAAACTTGGACTTGGTCGCCTCCATGGTGGCCTTGATCTGCTCCTCGGTGACGGTGGCGTCCTCAAGCTCCGCTGCCGCCTGAGACGCTTGAGAACGACTACGAATCTGCCGCTGACGATGCCGTGCCACCACCTTCAGCTGCGCGGTCAGGAGCTGCCTGAGTGGGTGCATCTGCTCCGCCTGCACGTGCTTTCCCTGCTGCGCCAGTGCGACGACGCGTAGTGGCCATCCTGGTTTTGTATTTTTTGAACTGCTTCTTCCTCGCCAAAAGAGTCTGTGCCGAACGTCCAGCTGCTGCCACGATGAGTTTGGATACTTCTGTTACTGACAATTGTTGAGGCTCTTTCCTTTCTGGCAACTCTTCATCTGATAGTTCGAGGCCTGAGGTGTCGAAGCTGGCCCCGTCCTCGACGTTGGGAATCTGCACTAGCTCCTCTTCCTCTGCGGCTGCGAGCAATTTGGAGAGGTTGGTTGGGGCGGCCGGTGGCTGGAGAAGTGCTGGGTCAACACTCGCACGAGAAAGAGCTTGGAATTTTGCTGCGGCTTCTGCCCCGCCCTGGCCAAATATTCTCGACATTCAGTCAGCTCCATGGTTGGCTGCCCGATCGAATGCTGCTGCTGCCCTGCGCGATTTGACTCCGGTTTGATTGGGTTCCTGCTCTCGCTGCAGTTCTGGACGTAGCTTGCGGCTTGCTGCTGCTGGTTCGACTGCTGCCTCTGCCTCAAGTGCTTGCAGTTCCGCACCTGCGTCGGGATGCCGGCGCTCGAGCAGCTGCTGCGTGGTCGGAGCGAAGGGCGACGTAGCTTGGAGAGCTGCTGCGCCTCCTTCTGGTAGGGAGCCGAACTCTATACACCGACGCCTTTGTCTGGTCTGCCGCTATGCTCGAGCGAGGTTGAAGTACAGGAAAAGGCCCCTTCGGCCAAAGTGGCTACGGCCTCCTCCTCCCCCTCCTCCTCCTCCTCCTCCTCCTCCTCCTCCTCCTCTTCCCCCTGTATATGGTAGTTCGTGGTGGAACATCGGCCCATCAAGAGTGGACCCGCCCCAAACATGAATGCCCTTGTCGAGCTCTGCGGGGGGCATCCTGCGTGTGCCCCGCAGATGCGACGAGGAAATCAATTTTTCGGGAGCAGCCAAGAGGGGGGTGTCCAAGAGGAGGGGGTGCAAATCATGACCGGCGGCATGTGCGCGGCCCAGCGGGGGGGCCAGGGACGTACAGAAATAAGAAGAGGCGCCATGAAATCTGGGGAGATATCATGGCCCCCGCCATGATATCCACCCCCCCTAATCATCACCCCCCTCTTTTCCGCCCCCGAACTCTGGGGCAGACCAATCCTGCGGTCGGTCCCGTCCTCAGAGAAGGTGGCTCCGGAAACAGCGGCTGCGCAGACCAGGAGCACGCGCTTCCCCATAAGGAGGACACCAGGGGCGCACGCGACGGAACGCGGCGCGTGGCCTCTGGCGCGTGGGCGTCGCTGCTGCGCGGGACAGGCCACGCTGCGCCGCAGCGCAAGCTCCAGGCAGCAGGAACGCCGCCGGAGCCGGCGGCGGCCTCGAAACGCGGTGCCGGACCTGGGCACGAGCCCTCTCCGCACGACGCGCGGAGGTCCTCAGCCCTCCCTGCCGCCTCCCTCGTCCCGCCCATTCCTCTCCTCGGCTCTTACCCGCCCTCGTCCCAGGAGCTCGGGCCTCGGGGGCCCGTGGTTCGGGCAGCGCGGGCGCGCGAGCCGCGGCGCCAGGGCCGACCGTGCACGGGGCCGTGCGAGCCGAAGCCGCTGTGGTGCCCGTGCACGGAGCCCCGCGCACGGGGGCCTCCCGCGGTGGGCCGGGCGGAGGAAGCAGCAGATCACGCGCACGGAGGGCTGGGCGGGCGCAGCAGAAGATCATGTCTTATGACTCGTCCCACCCAGGCGGAAAAAAAAAATATACCCCCGCCCGCCCCATCCATTCGGGGAAGGACGTGGCGAAGAGTGGAGTGGTCTCGCGACTTCTGGCAGCCTCGCGCAGACCGTGGACAGCATGCCCTGCCAGACAACGCCGCCGCTGAAAAAAAAGAGAGAAAAGGTTACCGACCGTAATGCGCTGCGCTTCCCGCGGGCCGTTGGTGGTGCATCGATGCTCTCTGCGGGTTCAGAGCGATGATGGCCTCTCGACCCAAACTGGGCGGAGCAGGTTGCCATGACCTCGAAATACTCAACATCGAGCTGGTCTATCAAAAAACAGTGCTGGGCTAACAGAGCCTCACCCGTTCAACATTGGGGCTGACCTGTTCCGCGAATCCAACACAGTCTGCTGCACTCCACGGCAGACGCAAGCGCTGAGGCACCTGCGGATAGACGCTGATCCCCATCTGGCGTGTTGCGGAAACCATGGAAAGAACGCCTTATGTGAATGTGGGAAGAACGATCCCTTCCGTCATCCTCTCTGACTCCTGCGGGCCAGAACCAAGACTACTCACTTTACCAGCATGTGTCCCCTCCGGAGTCGAGGGCACTTGAGCTCCCGAGTGGGAGGCGGAAACTCCACTGGCAAACCGCCGCTATAGATGGTCGGCTTGAACGGCGCTGGGATATCCGGGTGCATCACGGGGCTGTTCCTGTAATGGCCCACGTTCGCGTCGAAGCCCTGGACGTCGCTCCATACAACCTGGCACACCTTGGAGCACCTCCACGGCCACTTGTCCAAGCCGTTGAAGGATCTGAAGCACATGGAGGCAGCCTCCGGGCTGACCAGGTTCACGAAGCCATACCCCAGGCTCTGCTTCCTGTTGAAGTCCATCGGCACATAGACGATGTCGTACCTGCCGCCGAGGCCGCGCAGCTCCAGGAGCTCCACGAGCTTGCCGAGGGTGAGCTGGTAGGGCAGGTTCCGAAGCATCACTGTGGTCCTAGATGGGGGGCTTGCTTTCCTCCGTCACCACCATAAGTAGGAGGGGAAGGGGGTCCTCCTCCTCCTCCGCCTCCTCGTCTTCCTCCTCCTCCTCCTCCTCCTCCTCCACCTCCTTCCTCCCTCCAACTTATGGTGGTGGTGGTGGAAAACAGGCCCATCACTAGAGGCCTCCTAGATGGGGTCCGCGTAGATTGGGCCGAAGGATTGCGCTGCATCGCCAATGCATCGCCGCCGCGTCGGCGACGCATCAACGATGCATCGCTGGCGGCGGCGACGCGTCCTTGACGCCAGCGTGGGGAAAATCAGGCTCCACATCGAGCCGCGTCGTCGATGCATCGGCGATGCGGCGCGATCCTCCGACCCCGTCTGCCTTGACCCACTATCAGACCACCCCAGCGCGGCCCGAAGAGCCGAGGTTCGGGCTGGGGGGGGGGGACGGGTTCCATGCGTTTGTTCGATGTTCCCCGAACCCCCCACACTGGAAATGGAGGGCAAATTGGTCGGGGATGGACAGACCTCCCTTTAGTAAAACGTGGTTTAGTGAAAACGACCTCGGGCCCAAACCTGGCGGGCGCAAGCCTGGAAAATAACCGCCGCGGCGCCCTCTCGAGAACCGAGAAAGGACAATTCACCGATCGACGTGTCAGGGTAGGAGGTCTGTCCCCCCCCGAAGATTGGGACCTTCGGGTTGGGTCGGGGTGATTTGGTGGGTGGCCAATGCCCGGGCACCACCTGGGAGGCCTCGCGGAGGTCCGCAGCTCGGTGGGCGGCGTGCCCGGCCCCACGGGCACCTGCACCGCGGAGGCCTCGACCGCCGGCGGAGCCGGGGGCTCCTCCTTTGGAGCAGGGACTGGCCGTCCCGGCACCCCCAGAGCCCTACCACGAAATGTTCTTAGAGCCCCAAAATGTTCTAGGAACGAAAACAATGCTCTAAGAACAAAAACAATGTTCTCAGAACAGCAACCCGACGCGTTGAGACAAGGCAGACTCCGCCATGGATGTTCTCTGAGGAGAGCACTTCCTGGAAACCACAGAAAGGTTCTCAGGACATTCTTCGGTGGGGCCATAGGCGAGCCAGGACGCTTCGCCACTGCTTGATCCTTGGGGCGCCGCGGCGGCGCGGCGCCCCGGGGCAGCGCGCAGAGGGCGTCCTGGCAGAGCGCCGCGCGGCCCAGGGCCTCCGCGACCCGGGGGGCCAGGAGCGCGCAGTCCGAGCAGCTACGCCGCAGGGCCGGCTCCTGCGCCGGCTCGTCGAAGTTGAGGAAGGTGTTCTTCACCTTGGGTGAAGTCGGGCGTTGTCCCCCTAGAGTAGATTTGGGGCGAAAGATCAAAAAGACTCCAAAAAGATTCAAAAAAATGCCCAAAAGTGCGAAACAAAACAAAAAAGTCCCCAGACCATGTTCGTAGTATTTTTGAATGTTCCCCCTGTAGAGGGACAGGCCCGACCTAAACCTAGAGGAGCAACAAAAAGCGGCACGAACCGAACCTCTCGGCGCTCCGCGCAGAGTTCTTGGATCTGCGCTGGCGCGAGGCGGGCGCCTGGGGCGGCGCCCGGGGGGGCCGCCTGGGGGGGCCCCAGCGCGGATCCACGACATCCACGCGGAGCGCCAAAGGTTCCACTGCTCAACACAAACAACTGCCCGCACGTGGCCTGGAGCCGCCCAGGGGGAGCCGCGCCCCCCCCTGCATCGAGGCGGCCGCTCGTCCCTCGCACGCCCGTGAACAGGCACTGTGCGAGCAGGGGAACGCGCTTGGTGAGCTCATGTGTGTGCCGTTCGGCGGTGGACAGACCTCCCTTTAGGACACCTCCCCTTGGTGAACACGGCCCGGGACCGACGCCGACGGGCCTGGGCCCGCAAAAGCGACGGCGCCGCGACGCCCTCTCGCGAACCGAGCACGGCCACTTCCTGCACCACTTCCTCCATCGACGTGTCTCGGGCCGGGCGAAAGGGGGGGATAGCAAAGGGGGGGTTTGAGAATCAGCTCACGTGGCTGATTTTCCCGGCGCCTCCCGGCGCCGGGAGGCGCCCATGTATCGAGGAATGGGCCCGGCGGCGGGGCCGAAACCAGCTGCATGCAGCAGATTTCGTAACCCCCCCTTTCACAATCCCCCCCTTTCGCCTGGCCCGAGACGTGTCAGGGCAGGAGGTCAGTCCACCCCCGAGCCGCTTTCTCTCACCCGGTGGCCGTGAACAGCATCCCGGCGTGGACGCGCGCCATCTGCTCAACCCCTGCGCGGGGGCTGCTGCTGGGTCTGCCGCGGGGGCCGGGCCCGCCGCTCTCTCTACGGGGGCGGTCTTGCGGGTCGCCGGCGGAGCGGCGGGCGTCTCGCGGACCAGTCTCGGGCCAGCTGGGGCTGGGCGGCGGGCGCGCGAGGTGAGCGTCCCCCCCCCGCCCCTTGCCGTGTGGATGCCATGGCAATGGACACTCTGACCATCCGATCATGGAACTATAACATTCGTTTAGAGCATGTGTAAGACAAGTTCTAGACATGTTTCGAGCATGTTTTCTATATAAAAAAGGAAACATACATGTAAGGTATGTCTGAAGTATGGTCTAGACATCTGGGAATTATTTCGCAGCATGGCTCCTCTCCACTGATCGACTTCCACAACCCTTGCCCCCTCGAGAGGCCCCCCAGGAGCCCCCCAAAGAACCCCAAGGCCACCCCAGAGACTCCATGCCTCTGCTTCACGTCACACTTCCATCGAATTACTACGGTTTGGGTTTTGGTTCTTTTTCCAAAAGAACTCCCCCTGGGACTCCGGCCCATCC